TCACAGTTTAAAATTTAAAAAATATCTGGGTTAGAGATTAACCCAAAGTCATTTATTGTTTTAGATTTGTGATTGTCATATCTACCATTCTTCATCCCTTCTCAGTTCAGTCCCAGTGAGTGAAAGAAAAGCAGTCTGAAATTTTGGGGGAAAAAAGTCCCCATTGAAAGAATATGCATCGCATAAAATGTGCTTCTGTTTGGAACGGGAAGTAAAGTCAAGCAACAAATATGTGAGTGTCTGTTTGCATGAAAGTGGTTATTTTGTGTACACTTAAAATAGTGCTTTCTGTATTCAGTTGTACCACTTTCAGATCCCTTCCTTTTCTCAGTGTTATTCTTTAAAGAAACCATACTGATTTTTCACCTAAATGAGAAAGGTTTTTGTTTTTAATTCAAAATTGCCTGTACCAGGCAACTAATTGCCCTATAGTGAATTCGTTGGATGGGTCAACCTGAAAACTAGTGTTTTCTTTCACAGTGTAGCTGTAAATGGGGCATCGTTTCTGATAATTCAAATCACTAAGTCCTCTGTAAAATACTAAATGATTTTTCCCAGTTTTGAGAAGCACTAATGTACAAATACAGGGATCTGAAATCTCTTAGCCAAACATGTTGGTTAAGCCTATTAAATCAACTTATCTCACTGTATGTGATTCCCTGAAATTGTCGAGTTGTGGGGACAATTTTTTGTGTTGATTTATAGCTTTATAGTTAATTAACCCCAGCAGTAGTCAATCTATAACCTTCCTTCTGAACAAGACCTCTCCAAACTCAAACTCTCAAGTCTCTCAGTAAATAAGACATTTCTTCTCCACTAAATCCTTTCTACTTTCTTCATCAAGCACATGAGTCTTAGACAGTTAAACTCACAGAACACTTTTTCTTATGGTACTTGTTTTACCTTTTAGCTTTAGTAATATTTGTGAATTTGTCCTAACTTCAAAGCAGAAACTTGAACAGTGGTCATCTAGTAGTAAAATTTTGATTGTGTAACTTGGTCACAAAAGATACTTTTTAGAAGGCAGATTATCTTTTGAATAAATACATCCAATATGATTTTATTGCAGACTGAAGTCCACAGGATCCAGGACTAGACTTTAATGATCACCTTTTTCTCTATTAAGTATGCTCTTCTTATCAAAAGGCAGTAAAAAGAAATGAGGCTGCACAAATGCAGCAGAAATTATAGATATCAATGCAGTAGAGAAGGTTGAAAAACTGTGCTGTCTTTGTTTTGCTGCCTTGGAAAGAGGCTAGTATGCCTGTAAAAATTCTAGGTACCTCAGTGACTGTTTTATTGGACAAGATTTAAGTAGTATGAGAGTGATGTTAAAATTTCCCTAGGATACACACTGATTTTTTAAAGTTTTTTTTTTAACTTGCTTATAACTTATTATATGGTAAAAATAATCCAAATGGAAAGTGGCAGGTACCCTGTGTGGTTATCTTGTAGTTCCATTCTTGGTCCTTAGAAGCAACCTCTACTAGGAGCTTTAATGATTATGTCATGGTTTGTTGCTATTCGGTGTTTGATATTTTAATTATGCTAAGATCAGGACAGAAGTCATTATCCAAAACACTCTCATTTTAAAAATTATTTTATTGTCATTTTATGGTTAAAAAACATACATGGCATGACTATAAAATAATGAGACAATTTCATGGTGGCTTGGGCTACTGAGTCTCATTAGTATATAGTCACATCCTGTCTCAAGCTTGGAAGAAAAATATGCCTTCACTATATGATTATCAGTTTTGTTGCTTAAAATTTATTGAGTGCCAACAAAGCACGAGGCACATATATAACACAGAATTGTACAGTCTCTATGTTGTAGACTATATTATTTACATAGATTTCTTAAAAGATAACATTAAAGCAGGTATTTACAGAACTTTAGACAAAATAACAATACTGGAAATCAGCAATTTCTGTCTAGCAAGGAGCACCTTTTCATGAATGAGAGGGTTATGTAGAACTTACTGTGCAAGAGCACTTTAATTCCATTACCCACCAAGTCCACGTTATTTCATTATATAGTTCTATAAAGCTATAAAAGGAAAAACCTATGTGTGAATTCATGAATTGGTTTCATTAGTTCAAATACATTTAGAAAACACTCTGCAGAGATCAGTGCTTAAAGGGACTAAACACATATTTACATATCTTAGCACAAAAGCTAAAACTACAGCATGCAATTCAATGAGGTGAAAGAATGGTGAATATAGAAATCATTTTTTTGACCTGGAGTCTTATCTCTTCTATGACTTTAATTACCAGTTAGTTTCTTATTTTGAAAAGAAAATGTTACCTTTAAAACAAACAGTGATGTTACACAAAATTAGAAAAACTCAAAAAAAAATTTAGATAAGTATAGTGAATAGACAGTTCTCCAGTGGATGTCAACCATCAGGAACCTTGTAACTTTGGAGGTGTTTGATGGCCATTCTAAGTTTATCCATGATCTCTAGGGCATATGTTAGGCAGTCCCAGTATAGGA